GTGAAAGATTACTCATGTTTGAAGAACCAGACAGAAGGCTGTGATTCCTTTTGGAATAATCTTGTGAAAGATTACTCATGTTTGAGGAACCAGACAGAAGGCTGTGATTCCTTTTGGAATAATCTTGTGAAAGATTACTCATGTTGGAAGAACCAGACAGAAGACTGTGATTCCTTTTGGAATAATCTTGTGAAAGATTACTCATGTTTGAAGAACCAGACAGAAGACTGTGATTCCTTTTGGAATAATCTTGTGAAAGATTACTCATGTTGGAAAAACCAGACAGAAGACTGTGATTCCTTTTGGAATAATCTTGTGAAAGATTACTCATGTTTGAAGAACCAGACAGAAGGCTGTGATTCCTTTTGGAATAATCTTGAGAGAGATTACTCATGTTGGAAGAACCAGATAGAAGATTGTGATTCGTCTTGGAATAGTCTTGTGAAAGATTACTCATGTTTGAAGAACAAGACAGAAGACTGTGATTCCTTTTGGAATAATCTTGTGAAAGATTACTCATGTTTGAAGAACCAGACAGAAGGCTGTGATTCCTCTCTGAAGAAGATTTATCTTTGGAAAACCTAAAGGAAGCTTGTTGTGGAAGAGTGTGATCCTCATAGTAATGTTCGTTGGGGAGTGGGGAGTTCATCAAACAGTTTGATTATTTTTATGGTTTTAGATAGAAAAATACTAGTAAATTGAAATGCTTCCTCGGTTATTGAATAAATCAGCATTTAGGTTTCACCAAAAAAAATAAATAATGAACTCAGATCATTGTAACAAAATGTATTCATTATGATAGTTTTTGAACTGTGTTTTCGAGCAACACCAATTATCATCAACCTAGCTAAGTCTATCAGTTAAAACAACGTTGGTCTATATTAGTTTGTTGTACGCGAGATGGCGTTTGACCATTTCTTTATCCATCAATTTCTCTAACCATATTTTTAGCAGTTTATTTCCTTACAGTTCTACGTATTTCATCGCAACCGCTGTGAGTTAATAAAACAGATACTTTAAAACACATTTTCCATCTCTCAGTGATGACAATTAACGGGTTACTACAAAACGCCGCAAGGAGGCTACAATAGTGGGTAAATATGAGTTCTCACCTCTCGCGGCGGCAGAAATAAGATTAGTACTCTCTAACATAAATCAATGATGTAACAAAACGTAGTGTATAATATTACTTTGAGCTCATCTGTTCATGCGACCTGTTTTAGCGTACTTACACCACGGAGGCTATAGAATATAACACAAACATAGTTTAAATGGTATTTGAAAGGACCGTATATGTTTCAGGGCTTAAATAATTAAAACGACTACCAAGTTATGCCAGGTATAACCTATGCGTTGATGACATCAACTTTATCATAGAAAATTCCATAAAGCAGTAGAGGTCTCTCCCCTCACTCGTTAGAGTACAGAGCAGACTAATAGCAAGTGGTATCCCGCGCACGCGGAGAGCAGAACAGCGCGTGCCAGCGCTACCGACGGATTGTTAGCATTTATGGTAGGGCACTTTTAAGGTGACAACCAGCCGGAATATAGCTGGAAATTCTCTGTTCATTACAGACTAAACGTTGATCTTGGATTGCAGCAACAAAACAACAACAGGAACTCAAAAAAAGGTGTGTAGTTTTTTATTCATTATATATGTGAAGCTCAAAATGACTCATGTTACTTAAAACCCGTTTTCTAAAGGTAAAAAAACAACAAACAAACAAACAAGGAAAACTTTTGTAAGTTTTAATCCTGATTAGAGGACAGAACTTAAACAAACCTTTCGTAAAACTTATCACGTGTCTCGAGCATATTATTCAAACTGATTAATAAAACACGGTTAGTTTTCATTATTACCAAACTAAGATTTGAACTCAGAAATTAACTGACCAGTGTTGTTTTATTTTTTCAATCTACTTGGTTTATAGGTGTTTAAAGTTTGACCAAAAACCATATCAGCAATTTACGCGAAGGTAATACAGACCGTAAAGAGTTGTTTGTTTTGTTTGTTTTGAATTTCGCGCAAAGCTACACGAGGGCTATCTGCGCTAGCCGTCCCTAATTTAGCAGTGTAAGACTAGAGGGAA